ATGTTGTGTCCGCTGAGAACTAAAAAATAAATATTAAAAATTCTCTCTCTCTCCTCTCTCTTTAAAAAAAAAAAAAAAAAGGGAGGATTTCCTTTGAACACTGTCCTCAGGACCTCTTTTTTTTTGTACCAGGGATTGAACCCAGAGGACACTCCCACTAAGCCACATCCCCATCTGTTTATTTTTTTTTTTATTTTGAGACAGGGTCCAGCACAATTGTTCAGGGCTCGCTGAGTCACTGAGGCTGGGTTTGAACTAGAGATCCTCTTGCCTCAGCATGCTGAGCTGCTGGAATTACGGGTTTGTGCCACCTCACCCAGCTCTCAGGACCACTTTCCCATTGGTGATACCAATAAAACACACTGAAACATCTGTAAGCAGGAACCTGACTTGAATTTTTCCTTAGATGATGAGCTGGTCATGGGGTACTCCCTAGGAGATTGTTGAGGCAGCAGGAGCCAATGCTCTTGGAACTTTCTGTTTTCTGCAAATAAAGACATGATTAAAATTTAAAGACATGATTATCATTAAAATTAAATTAAAATTGAAGACATGATTAAAACAGAAAAATCCAGTGAGTGTTCGTTACCTCCAAAATCCAGGTCATCTCTGTTTAGCCAGGCAGTTCAGAGTAAGGACCTAGTGGGCTGTCCCATTTATACCATTCTATATAATGATGGGGTGCTGCTCGAGACACACAATATATACCTTTTTTAAAAATATTTATTTTTTAGTTGTAGTTGAACACAACCCTTATTTTATTTATTTTTTATGTCGTGCTGAGGATTGAACCAAGGGCCACATGTGCTAGGCAAGTGCTCTACCGCTGAGCCACAACCCCAGCCGCACGATTTACACCTTGATGAATCAAATAATACTAGGTTTGTCTTGGGCAGCTAGTAATCTGTGGCCCTAAAACAAGTGTTCAGTCTCTGCTAGGGCCCGGTAATGTTCTAGAAGCTGTATCTCTAAAATACAGCAGTTCCCCCTTGCCTTCAAAGCATATGTTTCAAGACCCCCATGGATGCCTGAGATCACAGATGGTACCAACCATTCTGGAATTTTCTATTTAGCATTTTGGACCCCAGTTGAGCAAGAGTAACAAACCATAGAAAGCACGAGAATGGAATAAGCTGGATGGGGGGAATTGCAGAGCTGTCTGTAAAGCATAGTGTTGTATTTTTCCTAACTTGGTCCTGATGTCTCTGGAGGATGGCTATACACTGTAGCCCACCCTGGCAGCTCCAGGGATTTGGTCATGGGTGTACACAGTATGCCATTCACAGCATCCTTCTTTATCCTGGTACACAGTTCAATGCCTGTGTCTGGCCTGTGACCAGGTGTCTCTCCTACTGAAAACTTGTTTATGCTGGCAGATGCCCTTGTGACCAGTGTCCAGTTATTTCCACCAAAATTGACCCTCTAGGGGTGGCCTGACTGGGAGGAGAGATTTGGGTGTATTGGTCAAGTGAGACACAGAGGAGGCAACACAAGGCACATGGAATGACAGAACAGTATGTCACTGTGGAAACCAGGGGCAAGAGAGCAGCATGCTTCAGAGGGCGAGCAGGGAGGGGACACTCTCCAGGTCATCTCCGTTTATCCAGGCAGTTCAGAGCAAGAGACCAAGGTCCTGCATCCTCAGGCCTCTCTTACGGTTCGTGGTTTTGCCAGGGTGGTTCTAATTGGTGGACTCAGGGCAAGCAGATACAAATTCCATGGAGTCACACTGTGACGAACACATGGTCACTGCAGCAGACCTGGACAGTCTATGCAGAGTAAAGGTCAGCAGACCAGTCGAGCAGGTTGCATCCAACTGTCCCATCAGGAGGTGGTTGCATAAGGCAGATATCTACTTCTGGTATGAGAGAATCCAATATAATCAAAATGGATCTACAGTGGCCACATATAAGAATTCACTGCAGGGGCTGGGGATGTGGCTCAAGCGGGCCACATGCGGCAGCCCGGGTTTGATCCTCAGCACCACATACCAACAAAGATGTTGTGTCCACCAACTAAAAAAATAAATATTAAAATATCTCTATTTAAAAAAAAAAAAGAATTCACTGCAGGTGACATAACTCTGCTTCAAAGTGCTAAGTGTCTGCACAGTGATGCCCTCAGCATCATATCTATGCTGATATTTCCAGCACCACCACTTCCACTGGCTCATGGCCCAAGGGGCAGAGAAGATTGGTCAGCAGGCAGAACCGGTGACAATGCCTTCTTTGGTTCTGGGCCCTGCTCAAAACTGACAGCCTTTTCTTCAGAGAAGAATTCTACAGAGAAAAATCTAGTGAGTGTTCATTACCTCCAAAATCCAAACACACTGGACATTGTGAAGTGCGTGCGTATTGCTGGAAATTGAACCTGGGGCCTCACATTCCAGGCAAGTGCTCCACCACCAAGCTGTATCCTGAGCTCCTCCCTGGACACTACCTATTTCATAGTGTACCTATTTCTAAGCACTGCCAGATGCAGCACCTTGAAAAAACAGCTCAACATGCCCCAGACCATTAGACCCCTAGAAATCTTAACTGAATTTTTGTGTGATCTCTTTCCCACCCTTTGGAACACATTTGTTTTCTCAAGGTGGCTAGAGTAATTATTACTTACCATCAGCAAGATGCTGTGGATATATCTGCGTTGTGTGGAGCACAGAGAACAAGTTCTCTGAAGACTAGATTATGACAGATAACTGAGGAGTTGATAGGTGAATGAGTATTGCTCGCTCTGCCAGCTCAAAACAGCAAATTGCTTTTGATAGTCTTTAATAGAAGTTATTGAGGACAAAAGCCCTCATCAGATCAATACCTATATGCTTCATTCCAGGGAATGCATTGATTTGCTCTGGCAATGAAACCTCATCTGGAACAGCTGCTGCAATTAGAGTGACAATTTAATTAAGCTTATGATAACCCACTTCATTGTGTGAGATCCGTCTTGGGTCAGCACCATCCAGACAGGCCAATTGAATGGGAATGCGGTAGGAGTCATCGGCTCTGCATTTCTCAGATTTTATTTGCGTAGTGGAGACATTAATCTCTATGATCTCTCCAGGAATGCAGTTACCTTTGGGTTATGTTTTGGTAGTTAAAGGGTAATGTTTATATGGTTGGTCTTCTTCCATCATTTATTTTAAATTTTTCTTTTCCAATTGAGTGCAATTTATATGTTCTTTGAAACTTTACTTCCTCATCTGTAAAATTCAGATGGTGATGCCAGCTGTACCTGTGATCGTGGGTCATTTAAGGCTCAAATGAGATTATGTAAGTTACAGTTCGCTGGAAACTGTAGAACCCTCTACAGGCTATAAGGAATAATGACTAACTGTCATTAACTCCTCCCCTCCCCACTTACATAGAAAAATTGAGATTATAGTCTTCATGTTAGTATTTCAATCAAGGTTCTTTGTTTGCTTGTTTTGTTTTTGGTTGTTGTTTTTGCAAATATTTGGAATGCACTCAAAGTGATTTATGCATAGATAGGAAACAGATTTGAAAGATACAACAGTGTTTCAGAGAACTCCAAATTTATGGACCATAAGTATACTTCATGAGGTACTGGAACAAGGAATTGGAAAGGCACTGGGAACTGTAATGACCATGAGAAAACACTTCTCAGATCTCTTAAGAAGAGACCAGGGGCTGGGAATGTGGCTCAGGCGGTAGCACGCTCGTCTGGCATGCGTGCGGCCAGGGTTCAATCCTCGGCACCACATACCAATAAATATTAAAAATTCTCTCTCTCTCTCTCTCTCTCTCTCTCTCTCTCTCTCTTCTCTCTCACTCTCTCTTTAAAAAAAAAGAAGAGACCAGACATGGTGGTGCACACAAGCAATCCCAGCAACTCGGGAGGCTGAGACAGGAGGATCGCAAGTTCAAAGTCAGCCTCAGGAACTCAGTGAGGCCCTAAGCAACTCAGCAAGACCCTGATTCTAATAAAACATAAAAAAGGGCTGGGGATGTGACTCAGTGGTTAAACACCCCTGGATTCAATCCTCAGACAGAGAGATAGAGACAGGGAGGGACAGAAAGATGCTCCCAGAACTTACACAAAGGAGTGGGTCAGGGTAACCTGGGGTGGTAGGAGTGTTGCTGCGGGGAGTATTGCAGACAACAGTTTTCAGCTCTCTTCAGTAGCCCCCAAGGGAAGAGCACACTCTTGCCCAAGGTTGCACCCCCCTCCCTGGGAACAGTATCCATATCTTATGCCTGGCTGAACCTGGGGTATTAGGACAACTCTGAAGTCCCTCCCAGTTCCAGAACTCTGCAGAGTCAGCTGAGGTCTTTGTCCTGACTATGCAATCCGACCCCCACACACCAAGCTCCTCTTCTCCTCCCTCCTAGGTGTTGCCTGGAGCGCATACTGAGTACCCTTCCTAGGTGCTGGTCTCCAGCTCCGCCCGCTGCCCAGGGAGATGACCCACCGCACACTTCCAGCAGCCAGCAGCACAACCGGCCCTGTACACTGTTCTCTGGATGTCCCTCAGCATATGCCCTACCCGCCCTGGGCCCTTCCTCATAGCCTGCAGGTTCCAGATCCCAGACTAAAGACCATGGTTCCCACTTTGAGGCCATGGCAGACAGTTAGGAGAAGCAACTGTTCTTGTCTTAGCAGCATCATGTGTAGAGATCATCCCCCAGGACAAGCTGGAGGGCCCTGAGCAGCCGGTGGCTGTCAGCTTCCAGGTCTGTGTTCTGATCTCTTTCTCCCAAGTACTTTTTTTTTTTTTTCTCCCAAGTCTGATGCAATCCCTGGGCTCCAGTTACCAGCCAATGCACAGCAGTAAGTGCTTTTCTTTCCTTCAGAGTGTGCATTAGATCCAGGCATCTGTTATTTAGAATGGAAAGCGCTTCCAGTCTTCATCAAGCCCCTCAGTTTGGGAAACCTCTTTCCTCATGGCAGGCAGGGTCAGGGTCATCATGTTCCACTTTATGCTTTGATACAGCCCTTGCTGATCTGCCACTGCAACTTTTTTTTTTTTTTTTTTTTTTTTGGTACAGGGACTGAACGCAGGCACTGAACCACTGAATCACATCCCTAGCTTTATTTTGTATTTTATTTAGAGACAGAGTCTCACTGAGTTGCTTAGTGCCTTTCTTTTGTTGAGGCTGGCTTGAACTTGCAATCCTCCTGCCTCAGCCTCCTGAGCTGCTGGGATGATAGGCATGTGCCATGGTGCCTGGCTGCAACTTACTTTTAAATGGTCATGCTTCTGTGGATCAAGGACCTAGGAATTAAACAAGACCTTGCACCTAATGGAAGAAAAAGTAGGTCCAAATCTCCATCATGTCAGATTAGGCCCCAACTTTCTTAATAAGACTCTTATAGTGCAAGAATTAAACCACGAATCATTAAATGGGATGGATTTAAATTAAAAAGCTTCTTCTCAGCAAAAGAAACACTCAGTGAGGTGAATAGAGAGCCTACAGAATGGGAGCAAATCTTTACCACAAGCACATCAGATAGAACACTAATCTCTGGGATATATATATAAAGCATTCAAAAACCTTAACACCAATAAGACAAATAACCCAGTCAATAAATGGGCCAAGGAACTAAACAGACACTTCTCAGAAGAGGATATACAATCAATCAACAAACATATGAAAAAAAATGTTCAACATCTCTAGAAATTAGAGAAATGCAAATCAAAACTAAGATTTCATCTCACTCCAGTCAGAATGGCAGCTATCAAGAATACAAACAACAATAAATGTCGGTGAGGATGTGGGGGGAAAGGCACATTCATACATTGCCAGTAGAACTGCAAAATGGTGCAGCCAATCTGGAAAGCAGTATGTAGATTCCTTGGAAAACTGGAACAGAACCACCGTTTGACCCAGCTATCCCACTCCTCGGTTTATACCCAAAGGACTTAAAAACAGCATATTCAGGGACACAGCCACATCAATGTTTATAGCAGCACAATCTACAATATCTAAATTATAGAACAAACCTAGATGCCCTCCAGTAGATGAATGGATAGGGAAACATTGGCATATATATACAATGGAACATTACTCAGCATTAAAAGAGAATAAAATCATGGCATTTGCAGACAAAGGATAAAGTTGGAGAATATAATGCTAAGTGAAGCAAGCCAATCCCAAAAAACCAAAGGCTGAATGTTTTCTTTGATAAGAGAATGCTGATCCATAATGGAGATGTGGGGTGGAGGAACTTTAGGGCTAAGGGGAGGGAGGGAAAGGAGAGGAAAGCGGGTAGGAATGATGGTGCAATGAGTTAGACATCATTACCCTAAGTACATGTTTGAAGACATGAATGGTGTGAAAATACTTTGTGTACAATCAGTGACTTGAAAAAATGTGCTCCGTGTGTATAATATGAAATGAATTGCATTCTGCCATCATGTATAACAAATTGGAATAAATAATTTAATTTTTAAAAATAGACATGTTCTTTGTCTTCCTCTCTCCTAGTTCCTTCTTAATCTCTCCCCTTTCCTAATCTCAAGGGAAACAGGATTGCCTTTTTTCCTCATCCTAGGCAGATTTATCTGTCCGTGAGTGCACATCCGTCACAGGAACAAAGTAATCCAGATTTTGGGAATGGAACCAGATGATCTCAGAAATGACTCTCAAATTAACAAGTGAATCAAACTCCAACACAGAACAGTGGAATGTAGCCCTTGAGTCACCTCTTTAAAAGCCCCGTTTTCCTGCTGATGGGCAGAATCACAGCCTTAAGGACACAAGTCCCCTGTGTTTCTCCTTTGCTAGCAAAGCAATAAACCTTCTTTTTCCTTTTTCTCAAAATTGGACTTTTGGCAACACTCCCAGATAGCAGCTCAAAACAGTTCATGAGAACACCTGTCATTGTCATCAAGACCAGGCTGTATGTGAAGCCACAAGGCCAATGACACCCCGGGTCAACTTTTCCAGTCCTCAATCCTGCCAGCCATCAGACTAGAACATCCCACTGCGGGCCTGCTCCTCTCACTTCCTGATCCTGCAGATCTGGGAGCTTGTCAACCTCCACCATTGTGTGAGCCCATTTCTTAGAATAAGTCTCTTTCTGAATGTATTCACATCTTATTGGTTCTGTTTCTCTGGAGAAACCCAAGTAAAACAGCAACATCCCAAGATCAGCAGAAATTTCAGGAGTCCTGAGGAATTAATGCAAAAATGTACCCTAATGGAGGCACTCGATACCAACCCCACCGCCTGGAGTCTACTCCTGCCTTTTCCCTCCCCATCCCCTCAGGTTGACTTCAGGATGGAGATACGGAGTGGGGCTGGTGTTAGGTGGGTGGTTACCCCAAAAAGCCAGGATGTGTGCCAAGTTATGTCTTCAGGAATACCAAGCACTACTCCAACAAAGCACTGAGCTTAGAGGGAACAAGTCAGGAGAGTCAGAGCAGGAAGCAGGGGCTAGGGGAGGAGAGAAGCAAAAGAAACAGTTCCTGAGACAGGACTGGTGCAAGCTTGCCCACTGAGAGGGGTAGGCCTGACTTTAAGGTCCATTTCTATTCAAGGATAGGTCTTACAGGCAGTCATCTCCATTTCAAAGGCTCCTGCCAGCCAGGATTTCTGCTTCCTTGAGGCCTGGCCCTTGGGCTCACACATCCCAACCACAAACAGTGGTATTGAATCCAAGATCCCACAGGCAACCATCAACAAGGACACAGGATGATAGTCCAAGTCCTCAATCAGGGAAAGTTGGGCAGAGATCAGTCATTCCAGTACCTTAAATAAAGAGGTCAGTGTGAGCCCAGGGCCTCTGTCGGCCATGTTTGGGGAATTGGCTTAAGCAGAAAAATGGAGCAAAAGCATGTGAGAAGTCATGTCTCCTGTCATTGCTTGAGTCCCTGGACCCAGCCAAACCTCCTGAACTATGCTGAGCTTTGCAGTTATAGGAACCAATAAATCCCATTTACATGAAGGCCCATTTGAGTTCTGTGTCTTGCAGCTGTTAGTACCTGGCAGTAACTCTGCAGTTCCCAGCCCTCTGGGTCCTTCCACCTAATGACCTGTTCCACCTCTCCAGTGGATGTCACTACTGCTGAAGGGCAGCAGCTCAGTACTCCCCAAAGCCACACCTTTCCCTCTTCTACTTCCCCGCCATGAATCCCAGCATTCTCTCAACAAATCTCACCCATTCTTCAAGCCCCAATGAAGTTTCTTCTGCCTCAGGAAGCCCCTTCCTTGACTTTCAGGTTTCCTGCTGCTTGGCAGCTGGATTGGAAAGCACTCAAGGATGGGACTGTGGGTTAATATCCTGCACACTCCACATTGGGTCCAGTATATTTGGTGAATGAATGTTGACCCTCTGGCCTAATGAACCTAAGGACAAGAAAGGCCTGTTAACATAATAGAAATTGTATGTGTGTGCTCACATGTGCAAATTTCCCTTGCCCCCAGTCGATCATGAGGCATAAAAGTGGGAAAGAATAAGGGACACCCTCTCCCCACTACAACAAAGCCTAAACCGACCACCCCAAGGTGATTCCGGAAGCTAAAATCCACCAATAGGGGAGGCACTGGAAATCTGAACAAGAGCGCCCCAAGACAGGTGGAACACAGCAGGCAGGTGGAACACAGTGGGCTTCGGGGCCACGTGTTCCTTCTCACCACAGGGAAGGTCCCTTACAGGCCAAGTTGCCATTTTCTAGAGACAAGGACAGGAACCTCTCAACAGGGCTGCCTACAGGCTCTGCACCCCTCAGGTCCCACTCTCAGGGACCTGTACAGCTCCTGAAACAAGCCATAACACACTTAACCATCCCCACATGGTTAAGCTGAGGAGTCTCTCCACCTGTCCTTCACCACCAGGTGTCCTATGCAGTCAAATGTGCAGGCCAGTCCTCCATCACTGGGATCAGTGAACTCGTTGCTGAGGGAGCTGTCTTCTCCCACAGCAGTGAAGTCAAGCACTACAATGAGGAACCCAGTAGTTCTTAGTTCCCAAACCTCTATCCCTAGCAGAGTGCCTTCATGTCCGTGTACCCATCAAAAAGTAGTCACGTTCTTTCTTCCACACACTGCCCAACCTCCATCAAAGTGCTACTCCCACAAAAAACTGCACAAAGAGGAAGACTGCAGGCTATTTGAAAACAAGGGCCAGGAAGTTTATTAGTTCCTTTGTGTCTCCCTATAGAACCTTGGGTCTCATTAGCATAGTGCCCCAGAGCATGTACAACTGTGGGTGAGATGCCAGCTGGAGAGCCTCTGGGTGTGTGGTGAGGACATCTTTTCCCCTTGGCAACCACCACTTCCTGTTTCCCAAGGGCTTTTTAGTGCCCCTCATGTGCCCCACCGAGGTCCGCAGTTGACTCTACCTTCCAACTGTGGAGTATGAATGCTCGCGGATTTGCAAGGACTGGGGTTATTGGGTCCCTACCTAGCCCCTGGCTGTGACTGCTGCTTCCCCCCCTACTGGGGTGTCAGTCCTATCTGTCCCACCTTCTCACATTTTACACCAGGAGGCCCTCCTTCACACTGTCATACCCATGGAGCTGTGTGCCCCCCTTCCCTCTCCCTGTGGCTTTTAGGGCATTCCATGGGCCTTCACCCCTTCTCCCACCAGGTCCTGGTCCCCAGTGCAGTGTTGTCCTTGCCATCCCCTTGGTGGGAATGTCCTCTCCCCCTGAAGCTGCCTGTTCCTTTCCTCTGGAACGGCGCTGTTCCTAGCTGTCCAGCAGACACCTCACTTCCCTCCACAAGGCACAAGGCCATCTCCTGAACTAAGGACATCAAAATCCCAGGAGACAGGATCCTGCTAATCACCATGTTCTCATGGAGGCTAATGGTGATTTGTGCATAACACAAGGGACCCTTCATATGAATGTCTGAGCAGGCAGAAGAGAACAAATTCTCAGCTCCTAATAAAGACGTGTACTCTTCGCAGGGAAAAAAAAAAAGACCATCTAAATCGGTCGCTCCCTAAGGAAGCCCTAAGTCCTCCATCATATACACTGGGACCCAGGCTGTGGGTGGAGAATGGAGTGGGAGCAACACTAGTTCCCAGCACCACCTGGAAACGCCTCCTGCAGGTCATCCTGGAACCACTTACTCCCAGGCCTCCGTCAGCATTGCGTCCTATGGCATCAATGAAAGGGCAGCTAAAGCCTTCCTCCCCACAGTGAGGTCCAACAGCTCTCCTGCAGCTCCCCAGGGGAGGCAGGGAGAAAGGGCTGGGACGCCATCGACTGTGTGTAGCTGAAGGGCTTGGAAGTTCCCTGTGAGAAAGGTGTCAGGGCTAGGAGGCCTCTGGAGGTACAGATGTCATGAAGCAGGCACACGCCAAGTCCTTTCTCACTGTTTTAAATCACAAGCCTCATCTATGTCCTCTGCTTTTCCGAGAGGAAGGGAACAGATCAAATTGGGAAAATTGTGACAGAAAAATGACAGGCAGCCATTGGCACTTACATTCTTATCTGTAGTTTCTGTTTTTTGTTTTGCGTTTTAATTTTTTTTCCTAAAAAAGAAAAACACAACCGGAGGGCTTTTATGACAAACTATCAGTGTCAGGATGGCAGGGAAAGAAAGGCCAGAGGCATGGGAAGCCAATAAAAAGTGGGTTCCGAATCACATGGAACGGTCCACAGGGCCGTGCCCAGGCCTTACAAGATGACCGTTCACTTTGGCATGCGAGTTTGGTGCCTGGCCTTCTGGCCTGCTCGCTCAGACACTCACACTCAGAAAGAGCTAGCCACACCTCAGAAACCTGCCAATGACAAACTCAGGACTTGACAGACAGACTTATTAACTCAGCTCCTTGGCTCTGTGCTCAGGCATCACTCGGCAGCCTCTCCTGCCTCCGGGACGGGTGTGCAGGAGTGGGGGCATCACCGCGGGGCACGCTTTGGCATCACAGCAGTGAACTCCAAGCAGCCACTCACTCACTCGTGTGCAGACATGGTCCTCACCCACACAAGCATTTGTCCAGACATCCCTGGTCATTCTGGCCAAAGGCGCCCAGGGGCATGACAGTCCCCTTCTACCACAGCTCAATGGCAGCATCCATTCTGCATTCTTGCTCCAACTGCTTATCACCTCAAGGATGGGAGACTGGAATATGTTCCCTTTTTAGCTCAGCACTGGACATGGCTCCAGAGAACTGAGTACGGACAGCTCAGTCATCTGAATCCAGGCTGGGGGTGTCTCCCATTTTCCCCATGTGATACTCCAGGTCTCAGGCAGAAAATTCTGCTACATCTAGAGCAAACAGGGTAGCCAGAGCGATGGAGGGCAACAAAGAGCCAGGAGCACACTGCGACCAGAGTACATTCAAGAAGGGGGCAGGGGCATGCAGCGAGCTGTAGCCCAAGTCACATTCTAGGGGACACACGGAGTCTGAAGGCTGCAGGCAGGCCTGTTGCCTGGTCGGAGTTCCTATGTGGAGACAGGAGGGTCCTGCCCTGCTGTGGCCCCTGTTCCTGAGCTGAGGCCAGGTTCCGTCTCAGTGCTGCAGTCCTGAGGAGCACCACGCTGGCCAGCCAGCCAGGCCACAGTCCTCAGCCCTCTGAGGCGTGCAGCAATGGTTCCACAGGAAGGCCCCAGGGAGCCACCGTTACTGGGAGGAGGGAGCCAGGAGAGAGGGGCTGCATTCTTCTGGGAGACACTCAGGGAGGGCCACCAGGGCTCGGAAGGAGCTGTGGTCCAAACTATTGCAGAGCCAAAAGGGATGGGATTCATTTCTGAAAAATGATAACAGCCTTGTCCCTATTTTAAAAAGAGAATATGGTGGTTGTTGCTTGGTTTAGTTTTTTCCTTTCATTTTAAAAGGTGAAGGGGCTGGGAGATGGAGTCCCCTTCACACTGGTCCTATATAGGCACCAGAAGGCGCGGGCTCCTGCCAGGTCCTGCTCTCCTTGCCTGGCTCCCATCACAGAAGCCAGGGTGGGCAGGGAGGGCGGCCCTCTACTCCCCGATGACGGTGGTTCCTTCTCCCGCGAGGAGAAGTCCAAAGACTAAAGTGCAGAGAATCCAGGGAGTGGACAGCCTGGGACTAGGGCACTCCAAGGAGGAAGGAGGTGGTCAACAAGGAGCCACAGCTGCGGAACAAGCTCAGAGCCTGGTGACTCGAGTCTGCCAACATGGTCCCCTTTCTCTCTTGGGCCCTGTTGACAATTTCTCTCTCTGGGAATGTCCACTATTAGCAGCTCCCCAGGGAGTCCTGGTCCCAAAGATGTGGCCCTCGATGGGGGAATACTTGTCTGACCATCCCTGGTTGGTAGTGACTAGTGAATGGAAGGGAACAGAGGGTAGCGGAAAGGAGAAGGCATTATATAAAGTTGCTGGATCCCAGCTTTTGGGAGGAGGGACACATGGACAACCCTAAAGGCAGAATCTCTCCTGGGGAAGGTTTGGTGAGGATGGTCAGGGTCCTACTGGTGAGGCCTATTGGGGAAGCAGGCCCTCTGGGTGTAAGAGGAGCTGCAGCACTGGGGGAGGGGCTGTGGAGGAAGAGCCCAGCTGGCATTAGGGTGTGTAGGCAGGGGGTGGCTGGAATTGGTTGATGACTTCATACTCTGCGGGATAGGGCTCATTCTCCTCCATCTCAGACAGCAGCTCCAGAGCCTGCTCTTCTTCCTCTGTAGGGTAGTGGCGCAGAAGATTGGCTGCGGTGGCCAAGATTGAAGCTCCACCAGCTCCTGCCACCAGGTAGAAGCTAACTGCAAAGGTGACGTAGACCTGGGAGCCATGGTACTTCTTATGTTGCTGCTGCTGGGCCAGGATGAGTTCAGAAGCCCAGTAAGAAAATCCGATGACGGTGGCACACTGCAGGACTGGGGGACAGAGGGACAGCAAGAAGGAGGATTAGCAGATGCCCTGTGGCTAGGATGCTTGAGGACCAATCACAGCCTCTTGCTCCATTCTAAGTAGGAGCCTACCTGGCCCCAGGCCCTGCAAGGAGTTCTACGGCCCAGGGCTAGGAACAGCTATCTGACTCCGACTAGACCAGGCAGATTCTCTGTCTAAAGAATTTGCAGTTGGGATACTAAGGTGCCTGGGTATGCTGGGCACCTAAAAAGAATATATAAGAATATAAGGGCTGAGATTGTGGCTCAGTGGCATAGTGCTTGCCTCACATGTATGAGGCACTGGGTTCGATCCTCAGCACCACATAAAATAAATAAATAAATAAAATAAAGGTATTGTGTCCATCTAAAACTAAAAAAAAAAAGGAACATAAAATGTGGGAGCTACAGGTAGCTGGCACTACCATTAAATCAAACACGCACACCAGCCCAGCCTCCTGCAAAGGCCGGCCTGCAGAGGAGGAGAGCCCGCTGTGCTCTCAGGGGAAGTACAGGGCTGGGCCTGGTTCCTTCCTTGCTCTTTCCAGGTCCTAAGCTCGAGTCAGCTTCAGCTGCTATTTTTGGAGAGCTGAGGGGTCTCTCGCAGGATTCTAACACTATCCCCTGTCTCCAGCAGTGCCCAGCAGGCTCGTGCTCCCTGCAAGTCCATCTGCAAATGGCTGGAGCCAGCTGCTAACACCCAGTGAGTGCTCCGAGGGCAAGAGCTCGGCACTCGAGCACCTGGAGTGATGTCTGCCTGCAGAAGTGAGTCCCACCTGCCACTCCCACTCTGGGCTGGGTCCTCCCCTAGGACAGCAGGCCCTGGGCTTACCAGTGAGGATATGGGCAAAGGCATAGCGACGCGTGATCTTCAGGGCTGGATGTTTGGGTCCAAAGACATCCAGAAGGAAGGCGGAGAGGCTGCACAGAATGCCCAGGAAGCAGAAGGCAGCAATGACCCGCAGGAGCAGCACTGTCTGGGGGTTCATGCAGAAATCTGGGGGAGGAGAACCAAAGCTTCAGGCCCCAATCACACCTTGGCATGGGCAGCACCCCACCCCCACCATCCTGTGAAGCCAGGGAGCCCTAGAGGACACTGGCTTGGCTCCTGCACGAGTGGTCTGCAGAGGAACAACCTCCACAGGTGCAGACAGGAACCTTGGGTCCGTGTTCCCATGCACCTTTAAGGCTCTTCGTGCAGCATTCCCCTGCACTTCTCAGTGTTTTTAAAGGTCCTGGCAATTAATGAATGTGGTATGTTAACCCATTCTGCTAAAGGATGCTTGGGGCTCGTGGGGAAAGCCCACTGTCACCTGAGCAGAGACAGAAAGGCTAAGGCCAGAGATCAGTCAATATTGACCCTCTACTTACTCATTCCTTCCCTTTTGTACCAAAAAGAAGTTGAACCTGAAGACAGTAAGTGAAATAAGCAAACCCAGAACAAATACTGTCTGAGTTCCCTTATATGAGACACCTGAAATAGTCAAATTCCTAAAGACAGAAAGTGGAATGCCAGGGAGAGTATCGTGTTTTATAATGTGTAGAGTTTCAATATGGGATGATGAGGAAATTCTGGAAAGAACAGTGGTGATGTTTGTGCAACGTGTCAACATTCTTTATGTCATTGAACTGAACACCAAAAATGGTTAAAATAGTAAAAAAGAATTTTTTATACCAGGGATTGAACCCAGGGTGCTTAACCTAACCACATTCCTAGCCCTTTTTTTATATTTTATTTTGAGACAGGGACCCATTAAGTTGCTTAGGAGCCTTGCTAAGTTGCTGAGGCTGGCTTTGAATTTGCAATCCTCCTGCCTCCGCCTCCTGAGCTGCTGGGATTACAGGTGTGCAACACCATGCCCAGCTAAAATGGTAAATTTTGTTCTTTTTAAATTTTACCACAATGAAAAACAAATAAAATAAAAAGGGGGGGAAGTTGAAGGTGTTTAGAGAAATCAGTAACTAAAAGAAAGTATTAAATGATGCAGAAAGACAGTAGACAGCACTGGCCCATTTGCTTTCACTCCCTCCCTGAACCCTACAGAACAAGACTTTTAAACAAAGCATAGACCCAAAGAGAAGGGGGCTGGGAAATGAAATTATGGAACTAGATTCACACCACAAAGCCCCAAAAGGCTCAGAAATTAATAGACGTCGCCAAGGTGCACGCATGCTCCCCCTAAATGAGAGAGAACAAAGGAAAGAGAAGATGGGGAGGCAGAGCAATATTCAGAGCCATGGTGAAGGCAGGTCCCAGGGTGACGACAATGAGGAATCCGATACAGGGATTTACTCTTCCTCACAGAACTTCAGCATCATTTGTTAACTACACAACACTGTTTTGATAGCCATGCAAACTTCCAAAGCTTCTAGAAGCACAGAATAAAATACAGTCTGCGGGCTGGGGATGTGGCTCAAGCGGTAGCACGCTCGCCTGGCATGCGTGCGGCCCAGGATCGATCCTCAGCACCACAAACAAAGATGTTGTGTCTGCCGAGAACTAAAAAATAAATATTAAAAAAAAAATACAGTCTGATCCCAAAAGAAGTCAGATCATGATTAAGTAGAAAATGACCAGGCACAGTGGCACATGTCTGTCATTCCAGCTTCTTGGGAAGTTGGGGCAGGAGAATCCCAAGTCTAATGCCAGTCTCAGTCAGTGAGAACCCATCTCAAAATAAAAAGGGCTGTGGATGTACACCAGTGGTAGAGCACTTGCCTACCACATGACGCCCTGGGTTCCATCCTAAGTACTGGGGGCAGGGGGGAAGAAAATGGATTTTGCTGACCTATCTGTAATCCCAGCTACTTGGGAGGAGGATTGCATGTCTGAGGCCAGTCTGGGCAATTTAGCAAGACCCTGTCTCAAAATTTAAAAAATAAAAATAAAAAAATAAATTAAAAAAAAAAAAGGTTAGGGAGGTAGGTGCAGTGGCACATGTCTGTAATCCCAGCAGCTCAGGAGGCTGAGGCAGGAAGACTGCAAGTTCAAAGCCAGCCTCAGCAATTTAGCAAGGCCCTAAGTGACAGCAAGACCCTGTCTCAATATTTTAAAAAACTAAAAAGTGCTAGGGGGGCTGGGGATATAGCTCAGTTGGTAAAGTGCTTGCCTTGAATGCACAAGGCCATGGGTTCAATCCCCAGCACCACATACAAAAAAAGTGCTGGGGATGTTGCTCAATGGTTAAGCACTCTTAGATTTAATCCCTGGTATCAAAAAAAAAAAAAAAAAAAAGTTGGACTGTATGGATGTACCTCAGTGGTTGAGCCCCGCTGAGTTTAATACCCAGTACAGCAAAACTAAAGAAAGTCATGGGCCTTAATTTCCCCTCCCCACTCTTCCAGGTGTTGGCCAGCTCTTTCATTCAGGCCACAGGTCAACAAATGATTTAAAAAACCTGGAAAAGGCTGGCCAGACTCAGGGTACAGATCTCTTCCCAAATCTTGGTCAGGATGAGTCTATGGGTGGTGATAATCAAGCCCTCATACACATCCATGTATCTTGGGTGCTGGTTGAAAGCATGTTTCAGGCCCCCAGAGGTCTGATTTCTACATCTGGAACAGGGCTGAGAAATCTGGATTTTGACAAGCAGTGCAGGTAACCCTCGAGCACATGGTCCAAGCCTTCTCTCCAAGAAATACTGTCCCAGATCCCAGAGGAAGGTGGAAGGATGAAAGAAAAGTCCAGGAGCGAGGGGCAGGGGACCCAAAGCCGACTCAACCCAGCAGTTGACCCATCATGGGGTCTTGGACAGAGGGAGGCGCTGGACCTTTGTGACTGACAGGTATACCCCACCTCAGGCTCAGAATTCTTCATTCAAATGCTAGCTGGACCAGGACAAGGTTCATGTGCTTCCATCTGGCTTTGGGTCACTCATTGAGCTGCCCTTAGGAATGTCATGATCTCATCTGCTGACCATCTGTTTGGGGCCCGAACAGCCAGCCCCAGTGACGGCGGCACACTGCCAGGGAGCGAGAGCTCTGCCCGCAGCTGGACCAGCCTGTATTGCATCCAGCCCCTGCACAGCTGAGACGGCATGGCAGGGCTGCAGGAATCCCAAACCCCACAGCCCTCCATGAAAGAAATGCCTAGGAGGCAGGGGCTGCCCCTGCTTTGCTCTGATTACTGTTAGTAGCTGAGATGGCTCTTCTCAGGGTCTGTGCAGTACTTGGGGGGATGTGGCTGGATGCGAATGTCCTCTGCTGCTTCCAGGAATGCCCTGGAAGAGGTAGGCTGCTCTGCAGCAGGTCTCATTGGGTTCTACTCGCGTTACTCAATGCAGCCAGGCAACGAGTGAAGAAAGAGTGAAGAAAGGGATCCGCTGGGCTTCAAAAAGACTGCTGCTTCCGCTCACTGGTGAGCATAGGATGCTCATTTTATTATCCTTAAAAATGTGCACCTATTGGGGCTGGGGATGTGGCTCAAGTGATAGTGTGCTCACCTAGCATGTGTGAGGCACTGGATTTGATTCTCAGTACCACATAAAAACAAAATAAAGATATTAAAAATAAATAAATAAAGGTCCATTGACAACTAAAAAAATTTTTTAAAATGTGCACCTATTATATACACTTCTATATGCCTGGGGTTCAAAATACATTTATTTTAGTAATAAGGAAAATATGCACGTGATTAAAGCTTCACAGAGGATTCCCCCCCTTCCAGATATCCACCAGCCCCTGGCCAGAGACAAACACGGAGGAAGGTGCCCCGCATAGCCCTGAGGGAAAGCCAGCACACCCAGAGTCTAATGTTTTCTTAGTTCATCCTGCCACCACCTGGGGGTGGTTCATCTCCCAGCTCAGATGAGGAGTCAGGGCCCCAGGAATTAAGTGATTTTCTCCAGGTCAGAGTGACTTCACACCCTGCCCTGTGCTGCTTGGAATCACTGAGCCCCAGTCAGCTGCTTTATTTTCCCTAACGGAGATAATCAATCAAATCCTAAAGAGGCGCCTGGAGTGGAGGGGTCAGGGGCTGACAAATGCTGCCAGAGCATCCTCAGCAGCAGCTTGCTGGGCTGCTAAAGGAACAGCTTGCAGCAGGAAAACTCAAGGAAAAAAGAAAGGCAAGAAAGGTTAGGGTCATTAAATAACCGGAAGTGCTCATATGGGGACGTACTGGGCAGAATCTGCTTCATGTGGTGTTTGAGCCTCTGCAGCACTGTGGGCCAGAAGTCCAGTTCTGGGTAATGGTCAGGACACCAGGAAGATTCTGGACCTGCTGCCAGATCCTACAGGTTACCTTGAGCAAGTACTTGACGTCTCTCAGCCTCTTTCTCTCATGGATCAAATGAAAGCAATAATATCTGCTCCTGTCCCAGTCACAGGGTGCAATGAAGGGCCAGCTGATTCCTTGCCAATGACAAAGCAGCCACCTGTTCTGTTATTGTCAGGGGCTGTTACAACTGGGCCACAGCAACATCACCCAGTGTGTTTTTCTTACACCAACTTTTTGGACCACACAGTTGTTATGTGTGGGTCAGAAGAGGTGTCCATTAAAATCAGACGGAGGGCTCACTCATCAGAACCACAGCGTGGCTCAGAGAAGGGGCTTTCCGTCTGAACCTCAGGCAGATTTGCCAGCTGCCTTTCTACACCCCAAAACTGTGAGGAAGCCCTAAGATTTCATGTACATGCTTATCTCCACTGGATAGCCTCCTAAATTTCCTTGTTTTTGGTTGTTGTTTTTTTTTTTTTTTTTTTTTTTTGTGCTGGGGATCGAACCCAGGGTCTTGTGCATGTGAGGCAAGCACTCTACCAACTGAGCTATATCCCCAGCCCATGCCCTAAGATTTCAGAAGAAAGAAATTGTGAACTTCCTTTTGCATGACGATAATGGATGATCCAGGAGCCTGCTGCCCTGTCTCCAATGGGACTTTCATTGAGAGGTCTCGGCACACAGAAAGGCAGCAGAGTTATCCCAGACCACTGAGGACTCAGTTCAGAGTTTTCCCTGGGGACACGGCCTTACTCTGTCTTGCTTCCCTTTCTACACAGCAGCAGGCAGGGCAGGCAACTGTACCTACTCTCTCTCCAGAGGAGGACCAGAGGCACAGGCCCCAAGGGTTATGTAGGTGTGACTTTATTTGTGGAAGAGGAAGGCACGTGGGACAAGTCCCTGACTTTAAATCCAAGCAGTAGTTAGGTCCACCGTACTCTGGTGAAACACACACCCTGTCCTCCAGTTGTGCTCTAGCCTGTTTATTTTGTTAAACACTGCTTGACTGTCCCCTCGAGTCACCAGGAAAGAAGGCAGCTGCTATGTAATAGGATCCCAGGGAGCTGACTTTGCCCAAGGTCACTGGTGAGTCACAGGGCTGGATTTGTTTTGAAGGCCCTGGCTCTTCCTGTCTACCTGCCCATTACTCTAACCCCCTCCTGACCCATGTGGGCTGTAGGCAGGAAGGCTATAGTGGCTTCTGACCAGCTTCCTGCTGTTGTCCCACCTCCCTCCTCCTCATCGGGTCCCTGTGAGTTAGAGGCACTTCCCCACTGTCCCAGTCCCTCTCTGTGTGCATGGTCCTACCTGCCAGCCTCTCCTCACTGACTTTCTTAGCTTCTAGACACATCTCAGACAGGCCTCCAACAGGGCCCTCTAGTGTCCAGCCAGGTCTTTCCCATAGACAGCAATGATGCTAGTCCAGATGACTAAGGTCAGGCCCTGCAGGACCTTGCAGTGCCAGCTGCCTCATTACCACCCGCAGGTACACAGGCCCTCTCAGGAAAGCCCTGGATCCTCCAGTGGCTGCTGTCAATCGTGAGTCACCTGATTCCAAATTCCAAACTTCCTCATTCTCCAAAAATGCTTCCTGAGGCTGTTCATGGAGCTGTCCTTGCTGGCCTCACCAGGGAGACAGAAAGGGGGTATGGGTCACCCCTTCCCCAGGTCTGAATATTGCTCTGAACCCAGAGCCAAGTTCAAGAGCTATGTGTTGAGCAGGCAGCCCTTGGGGGATGGAAGAATTTAGGACAGAACCTTCTGAGCTGGGCTGCACTTGTTAAAGCCTCTTTGGTTGAGTGGAGGATGAGTGGCTTTGCCTTGGGATCACCAACCTGAGCCTGATCACTGAGGCAGAGGGGGACAAAGAGCACAGCTCTGGCTGGGCTTGTGATCAAAATTCAACCAGAACGGGGAAATGATAAGTCTTGGGCATCTCTGACTGAAAGAAACAAAACTGAACACACCAAGGTGGGTGGTAATAGAGAATGGATTTCGGCATCAATGCCACCCAGATTAGCTGTGTGCTCCTGAGCAGATTACCCAATGTACCTGAGCTGAGATGGTTGTGAAGTGGGGCTGATGACCATATCTACCAAAAAAGATGTTTAGCAGAAACCGAAAGGTGACATAGAGTGTACTTAACATAATGACAACACTGGCGCTGGTGCGACCAGTTGGCCTGCCCCACTCCTCATGGCACGAGGAAGCCTGGCAGGTCTGTTCTTCCCCTGGAAGCATCTATCCATCTGTGCCCAGCAGTTCTGCTCCTCTTGAGATGGGAAATATCCCGGGGTCAAGTTTCGCTATCTGTCAGGTCCTGAGGATCAGCATGGTCGCCCAGGATGCCACATGTCTGAAAGCTCACTGGATACCAAAATCAACAGGTAAAGAAAAGGGAGAAGAGGAGCAATCAGGGACTTCCTGATTCTTTGCCCTCTCCTGTTTCTGTGACAGCTCACAAAGCACCACTGCCAACTCTCCTGTGAACAAGACACCATGTGTTCCTGCTTGCACTGGACAAGGAGACAGCCACGGGCAAGCCACAGAAACAAGCCATGGGCTAAGACCTCTAAACACATAGCAGAAGTAATGTAAAGGTTAAGGTAACAGATTTTATGTAAGATGAAATCTGTTCTGCATAATTTCTTAGAAAGGGTAAATACATATGTGAACATAGGAGAACATACACCAAGAACTTCTTTTTATTTTTCACATGCCTTTGACAAGGATGCACACTAAGGCAAGGTCATTCTTTTTTTTTTTGGGGGGGTGTACCAAGAATTAAACTTTGGGCACTTGGCCACTAAGCCACACCCCAGCCCTATTTTGTATTTTACTTAGAGACAGGGTCTCACTGAGTTGTTTAGCGCCTCGAATTTTCTGAGGCTGACTTTGAACTTGTGATCCTCCTAAGTGATCTTCCTATCTCAGCCTACCCAGCCACTGGGACTACAGGCGTGTACAACCACGCCTGGTTTGTGAGATTATTCTTTGACAGTTACAGTAACACAGAATAAAAACCTTAAATGAGAGACAGAATCGCTATACATTGGTGTCACAGATCGGAGGGAGTCTCGGCTAGGCAACTAGCTGGGTCGCCTTGAGATCACTTCACTGTTTTGAGGCACAGCTTCCTGGATTTCTGAAATAAGGATGTGGGACCAGTCTGCCTCTCCCTGGGTCATGTGAATTTTATGAACTCCCACACCCAGGATGATCTTCAAAGAGGAAGCACCGTGAACTGACACGGAACCCCTGAAACCCTATGGGGTGAAATGCAAAAGGCCTGGAGGAAGTGGTAGGAAGGTGGCCACTGTACTTCCCAGAAGGCAGATGCAGGGGGAATGTGCTGAGGGGAAGATCATGCAGATTCACTTGAATTTGATGGCCCTTGTGCCATCAGCTACATGACATGGAAAAAGCTGCACATCCCCAGGCCTCCATTGGTTTTAAAGAACCAACCCAGGCCAGGGCACCATTCAGGGTGAAATCTGGAAGCAAACCAGAAGTCCCCAACCTGTTCTCTATAAAATCATCCAAAAGCCTCTAAAACTCAAGAGAAGCAAAACATTAAGAGAATGATCAGAGGGCTGGGGTTGTGGCTCAGTGGTAGCGTGCGAGGCCCTGGGTTCAATCCTCAGCACTACATAAAAATAAATAAATAAAGATGATTCATGTCCAACTAAAAAATAAATATTAAAAAGAGAGAGAGAGAGAGAGAATGATTAGAGAAAGATAGCATTAGGCTACTACAGAATAAGATTTCTCAGCATAGATCTGCAGATATGCTATATGACCCTATGCACAGAGGGGAAATAAGACCTTTTCACCAAATTCCAGGGCTTGAATCCTTCAAGAGACAACATACAGATATCTAACAGGAAGGGCTTCTAATACCGGGGCAGCAGATATCTGGAATACATCACAACCAGGGAGAGGCACAGAAGGAAACACGAAGACTTTTAAGAATGGTTGATAAATGGGGTGATAAACTGTGATGTTTCTAAGGGATGTTTGGGGGTTCACTGACCATTTTTAGCTTAGAAATCAGATAGTATAGTCCTACCCTCACACTACACAGCCTTTACCCCCATTATAATGGAGGTAGGACAGGGCAGGATGAGCCACAGAGCTTCTTTTTTTTTTTTTTTTAATATTTATTTTTTAGTTCTCGGCGGACACAACATCTTTGTTGGTATGTGGTGCTGAGGACCGAACCCGGGTCTCACGCATGCCAGGAGAGCGCTACCGCTTGAGCCACATCCCCAGCCCCATGCCACAGAGCTTCTTGAGACAGGCCCTTCTGTGGGCTCTGAACTCCTGCCTTGCCAAGTAAAGAGAACAGTCACTTTCTTCTGCCTACCTGAATGAGAAAACAACAAAGCAACTTTACCTGTTAGGCTACTTATAAGAGTTTCAGGAGCCAAATTCCAACTGTTTGTTGGCAATGGAACTGACTTCTGATGACCCAAAATGCCATGGACCCCCTTTTTCTTTGAGAAAAGTATAAATACCATAGAATTAAAATATTTTTTAAAACCTAGTCATATTAAAAGTTCCTTTTATTCTCCATCAATCAGGCTGACCTAAAGCTGCTTTCCTGTATCTCACAGGTTCCTTAGAAGAGTATGGCTAATCACGACCCTTAGCACCCTTATCTTTTCTCCACATATAGCGCCCTTCCATGGGCAGAATCCTAAAATAACAAGGAGTCAGTCCGGATTAGCATGGCTGTGAGGAGTAGGTGCTTAGCTGAAGAACATTAGAATTAATTAGAGGTCGGACCCCATACAGAGCCACCTGGTGGGCATGGACACCAAGAAGGAACGGGTTGTTTCCTTCAACCAAGTGCTACCCCCTCCCCCCAATTATCTCTGCTTCAGCTAGTCCCACATACTGCACGCCCCCTGGCCCGGAGGGCAGGAGCACGGCGCCCTCACCTTTCAGCAGGTCCGGGTGCACGTAGCCCAGCACGTCCGAGACCCCCAGCTCCTGGCGGGAACAGGTGCCTCCGTGGATGTGCAACCAGGCGGGCTCGGCGAGGGCAGTGCACAGCGCAGTGATAGACAGGGCGCCAGGCAGGGCCGAGGCCAGGCTACGCTCCGGCTGCTTGGGCAGAGCGCTGCCTCCCGGACTCCTCCGCCGGCACCCGCTGGGCTGCCCTGTGCCTCCAGGGGCATACATGCCCGGGGCCGCCCACCGTCGCTCTGCGGTCGCTGCTGGTCGCCGCCGACCTCCGCGGGGCGCGCAGAGCCTGCCTGTCCCTGTCCCGGGAAGGAGAGCGATGCACTGGGTTACCGGCGCGAGGCTGTAAGAGCCGACACCAGGGGGTGGGGGGTGGGACCCAGGGCGGAGCGGAGGCTGGAGGACTGCGGGATTCGGGGGGCGGGGACGGGGGACTCTGGATTAGAGATGCGGGACCCAGGCAGAGAGACGGTCGGGGACCAGATGGGGTCTGGGCACACCGGGACAGGGAGGGCGGAGGTACTGAGGATCGACCACTGGTGGTGGGATGTCTGCATTCCGGAGTCGGGGCCAGAAGGTGCCTAGGGTCGGAGGACGCGGCTGGGCCGCGGGGATCCGGGACCGATGGTCGGGGACCGGCACTTTGGGGTACAACCTGCGCGGAAAAAAAGACCCTCCCCATTCTGCCCCCTGCTTCTCACCGGTTAGCAGGCCTCGGGGCTGGAATGGCGCCGCTCCGCCCCGTCACGGGCTTCTTAGCTGCCCGGGGCCGAGCTATCCCAGGCCCCAATCCCGCAACGCCCAGACCGACCCGGTCCGATGCACTTCCGGCTTCCTCCTCCTGGGCCACCACCTCCTCCGGCGTCGGGCCCCGTCCCCCGCGCGCGTCACGGCGTGCGCGCGCCGCCGGCTTAGCGCAGGGCCTCACGGGACTTGCAGTTCGCTGCGGGCCCGCGATTCTTCTGCCGTGGGTGGGGCGTAGCAACTACAAATCCCAGAGGGCCGCGCGGCCGCGGGCCCTTCAGTTCCCAGGACGACCCCGGCCCTCGGGCGGAAGCCGGAGCTTCGGAGGCCGCTGGAGCCTGGAGCTGGCGACACCGAGACGTGCGCCTTGGGACCTTCTGTCGGCGCGCCAACTCTGCCCACCACTTTTTGCCCCGCGCCGCCATGAAGGACTCGTTGGTGCTGCTTGCCCGCGTCCCGGCGCACCCCGACTCCCGCTGCTGGTTCCTGGCCTGGAACCCCGCGGGGACCCTGCTGGCTTCGTGCGGTGGAGACCGTAGAATCCGCATCTGGGGCACCGAGGGTAAGGCCTGGCCTGGGCTGCTTGAGCCTGGCGCATAGTGTGAGTGCCCGGGAAGAGGCGACTTTCGAAAGGCTATCAGGAGCTCGTCAAAGGAAGGAGTCTGCACGTACTGGCGCGTCTGCAGACGGCCTGGAACCGCTGCCGAGGGTGGTCGGATGGTAGCCTGTGGGGTGACTTGCAACTGAATGGGAGCGTTTAAATTTTGTCTTGAGGTCATTGGGGAATGTTGCCAGTTTCACATTGGGAGGGTGAAGCCTCAGATTTGATGTGGAAGGCTTCTTCCAGAGGAAGTAGTCAATTGCATCTTCATAAAAGCACATTGTTAAACTATACCGATTTGGCCTGGTCAGACAGCAGGCTCCAGGTATAGCTTCTGTTATTGAATGGCAGTGACAGTGCTCCAACACCTTCTTGTGCATCCAGCCCCAGAGCCTGTCTTGTCCTCTGCTTGCAGGTGACAGCTGGATCTGCAAGTCTGTTCTTTCTGAAGGCCATCAGCGCACTGTGCGGAAGGTGGCCTGGTCCCCTTGTGGGAACTACCTAGCCTCTGCCAGCTTTGATGCTACCACTTGTATTTGGAAGAAGAACCAGGATGACTTTGAGGTACCCAGGCTGCATGGGGCTGGAATCATTGTGTGCTCTCCAGGGCAGGTTTAGGAACCTGAGCCAACCTAGGTCAGTCATGCTGTAACAGTCAGAAGGCTACAGCCTTCACTTAGAAACTGTGACCTTGGGCTGGAGATGTGGCTCAAGCGGTAGCGCGCTCGCCTGGCATGCGTGCAGCCCGGGTTCGATCCTTAGCACCACATACAAACAAAGATGTTGTGTCCACCGAGAACTAAAAAATAAATATTAAAAAAAAAAGAAAGAAAGAAACTGTGACCTTAAGTTTTGGCTAAGTTCTAGGAGTCACAACTGCTGTTAATTCTCATTCCTTTCTCTTTTCAGTGTGTAACCACTCTTGAAGGCCATGAAAATGAGGTCAAGTCAGTGGCTTGGGCCCCCTCTGGCAACCTCTTGGCCACCTGCAGCCGAGATAAGAGTGTGTGGGTCTGGGAAGGTGAGTCCTAGTCCCTCCAGGTTGGACAATCGGCTCATAGACATCCCTGTGTCCATGACAGGATCACATCTTGGGCTCCTTTCTGTTTTTCTCCCATAGTTGATGAAGAAGATGAGTATGAATGTGTCAGCGTCCTCAATTCCCACACACAGGATGTCAAGCATGTGGTTTGGCACCCGAGCCAAGAGGTCAGAATTGGGCCAGGTCTCTTGGTGGGAAGGAACTTTGGCATGCAGGCTTGTGTCCAGCCTTCCTCTGCTCTGCAGCCTCTACTTGGCTTTTATAGGAATTTCTGTAGCCAAAAAGATTAGTCTCTGTATATAAACAGATCCCTGGACCTGTTCTGGCAGAGGGAGGTATTGTAAATGACAGGTACTGCCTGGGCCATGCAGACAACTGCTGGATCTCCTTCCCTCCTCCCCCAGCTATTGGCTTCTGCTAGCTATGATGACACAGTAAAGCTGTACCGGGAAGAAGAGGATGACTGGGTATGCTGTGCCACCCTTGAGGGCCATGAGTCCACTGTGTGGAGCTTGGCCTTTGATCCCAGTGGCCAGCGACTGGCATCTTGCAGTGATGACCGTACGGTGCGCATCTGGCGTCAGTATCTGCCAGGCAACGAACAAGGTAAGGGTCCAGTAGTAGAGCTAAAGGGACAGACCCCTCCATCTAGAGGTGTGCCATCTGATAGGACACATCCATGAACCATAGCAAACTCAGGTAAAAAGTAATGTGCCGCAAGAGGGCTGCAGGTGGTGCTTGGAGAAAGGGAAAAGGCTGTGCAGAACGGCCATCTTATCCAAATCTGAAAGGATAGGTAGGATTTTAACACGAGAATTTACCATGAGAAGAGAATGCACAGTAAAAGCCCAATAGCACAAATAGAGGTTGGTGGTGGGAATGCCTAGACTTACATGAGGAATAGTGACACAGGATTTGGGGAGAAATAAAGGGGGCTGACTTGACTCTTGGTGGCCTTAAAAGGCCAGCTAACTAGTCAGAGCCTGCAGCAGAATAAGGAAATTTTCTTCTCATGAGTCTGCTTTCTGGCCAGTGTGTAAGGCAGCTAATGAGGGTGGGGACAGGATTAGAGATAAGGGCAAATGATGGTTTGAAGGTTGAGGTGAGGGAGGGCAGGATAGGTTTTCCTCTGCAGTGGTGCAGTGACTCCCCAGAGGTCCCCAGGACCTAGACACATCTGGGGCTTAAGAGAAGTCTGTCATGCAGGGGTGGCATGCAGCGGTTCCGACCCCAGTTGGAAATGTATCTGCACTTTGTCGGGCTTCCACTCCAGGACCATTTACGACGTTGCTTGGTAAGATCTCCATCCCCAACTTTCCCATCTACCATAGCAGGGGTTTTAGAGATGTCAGAACCCTGTGCTGCCCTCCACCATTTTGGGAGTATGTGGGAATAAAGAGCAGCTACCCTAATGGCTATCAGATCGGGCCTGTCACCTGGGTGCAGTGGTACCTGTCTGTAATCCCAGTGATTTGAAAGGCTGAGGCCCTAAACAGCTTAGAAAGACCCTGTCTCAAAAATCATCATCATCATCATCATCATCAAAAAGGTGTTGGGTATGTAGCTCAATGGTAAATTGACTCTAGGTTCAATCCCCAGTACCCCCCACCCCCCCCCCAAAAAAAGTTAGGCCTGTCTATGTGTTGGCTTGAAGTTGGCTGGCCTAGTGCTTAAAGGAGGAGGGAGCAGACTTAGACCCAGGCCTGTCCCAAGATTAAGATCCCAGACTGTGAGGGCAGCATCAGCCCTTAGGGCTCATATCATCCTGGAATTTGTGAATTTGTGAATGAGGTCTTTATAGTTTGGTAATAATGGAGGCTAGAAAAACCATACCATTCCTATAGGAAAAGAGGTCAGAGAGCAATTCTGACCATGAGAATTGGATCTAGGAAATAATTCTAAACCATGAAGAAAATTGATGTGCATCCAAGCTTTATGTATATTAGCAAACATTTGAGAATAACAAAATTCAACAAAAATGGATTTATATAAATTATGGTTTACCATAAATTATGGTTTACCATAATTTATATAAAAAGTCTGTTTAATAACTGTTTTAAAAAAGGTTAAGAATACTTTGACATGAGCAACTGCTATGCTACATGAGAAAAGTTCCATTAAGAATTGTGTGTAGGTTATATACTTCAGGCTAATTATACCAAGGGAAGCTGAGCAAAGTGGTGCACACTTATAATCCAAGACTCAGGAGGCTAAGGCAGGAGGACCACAAGTTTAAGACCAGCATGGACAATTTAGGGAGACCTTGTCTCAAAAAGTAACAAGGGCTGGAGACAGAGCTCAGTGGTAGAGCACCCCTGGGTTCAATTCCTAGTTCTACCAAAAAATTTTTTTTGTTCTGAAAGCTAAATCAAAGCACCTAAAGAGGGCCGTGGTTTGGCTCGTAGTTGGGAAAGCTCTTCCCGAAAAGTCTTCCAGCTAAGGCTGGAGTTTTGGGAAGACAACAGGTACAGGAATTGCCAGGTCAGGGAGGCAGGAGCAACCTGCAGACCTACTGGTGCCTCTGTTCCTCCCAGGTGTCAGCTGACGGGGGCCCTGGCCACCGCTTGTGGGGATGATGCCATCCGGGTGTTTGAGGAGGACCCCAGCTCAGATCCACAGCAGCCCACGTTCTCCCTGGCTGCCCACTCGCGACAGGCCCATTCCCAGGATGTCAACTGTGTAGCCTGGAACCCCAAGGAGCCTGGGCTCCTGGCTTCCTGCAGTGATGATGGGGAGGTGGCCTTCTGGAAGTATCAGCGGCCTGAAGGCCTCTGAGCTGCTACAACTTTAGAGTAAAGGTTCCCCAGGAAGTTGAAAGACTCCTAGTCCTCGGGGACCTGGGAAAGCTTGCTTGACCTTCATTTAGCCTGGCTCACCCCTCCTGAGACCTGCGTGGCAGTGTGGAACCACAGGACTTTCCCTCCTTGGTCCATAAGGACCTTGGTAAAGAGCCACAGGATGTCAGTACATTGTTAACCACAGAGTTTTTTTGCTTTAGGGGACAGTGTGTTACATTTGGGGGGATGAATATAGTATTTATAATCACGGCATACATGTGTGTGTTTCTGTATGTAGGTGTGCAGCAGGGAGTGTACTTCAGACCTTCCTGACAGTGTGAGCTTTATAGAACTAATCCATTCAAGTCCAAAGTCCTACTTCATGAAGACATTCAATGTTTCCCATTGTAGATTGTCTAAGTCCTGCTTTCCCTCAGAAAACCTCACATACCTCTTGTGCCATTATTCTGATGCCAACAGAGGAAATGAAAAAATAAATGGGAAAGACATGAGTCCCAAAAGGGAGAATTATATTTGGCCACAAGCCATACTTTTTCAGTAAAGATGAAAATTGGATCTCAACTTGTTGAAAACCATGGGTTTGGATGTGCTGGTTGTCCCTAAGGCACAGCCTTCACTCCACTTGTTACACTATAGAACTTGTAATCTTAGATTTTGGAAAGGTATCTAGA